AGCATAATTAGTGTCTTTTCATCTGCCACCTGCTAGCTACACCACCTGGTTCTCAAACTGTGAGCCGGACCCGGCTGGTGGGCATAGAGCCACTGCCAGAGGAAAAATATAGAGTGAAACTAAGCTGGATGAACGCTATTAATGTAGAGAAAGTAAACAAACAAGTTTGCAGATGGAGTCATGCGGACCTTTATTTCACTAAATGCTTTTTTCCATTAAGGATGGATAAAATGGTTTGGGTGTGGTGGGGTTGAACTTTTTCTTGTCCTGCAGGCAACAAAAGTTGCAGGTTTTTAACACATACACTCGCTGCAGGTATTTTAACAAATTTCTATTTCTAAGTGAAATAGAAACACACTTACCTACACCGGTTGGATGGTTGTAAAGTCTTTCAAACTGTTATCGCTCTGGTCTACATGAAACTCTTCCACATAACCATCCTAGGTGGACAGTTTTTTTGGGATCACCCTTCTTTCTTCTTCATAATAACCAAAAAGTACAAATGTACTTTGTAGTTTGGGTGGAAATTAGCTGAGATTTTGCAGCTTTGTAATGTACAAACACTTCAAACACACACAAACAGTAGCTATAAAAAGAAGCTGCAGTTGTGCCGCTGGGTGGTATTCGTTCGGCCTGGATTTAGATGCTTCACAGTGATGAAAATATGCATCCTTGTTAAAGATATTGACCACAATCATGCTCCAATCTGTCCACTGAAACTGCTGACAAAAGTGCCTCATGGGAGAATGAGTTGACTGTCAAGGATGAAATAGTGCTGCTATTTCTATGTATTGAAATTGTAATTTATATAATTACTTTTATAAAGTCCTACATATTTATGTATAGTCACTAGTGTGTTATTACAGTTTATTTACATGATATATACTTCTAAACCCACAGTGTCTATACTTTACATTCACTAAGTGTCCACTTTGTATTGGCTTGGATAAGAATCGCAGGTATATCTATATATAAATACTTGCTTAGACTTGATTTACTTTTTATGACAGTAAATATTCTTAAAAACACAACTTCCTAAAAGTCCAACCTTAGTTTGAGTGAGTAATGTGACGTAAAGCATATTTCTCATTGCTACCAGAACACAGAAGTGCCACCTGTCCTTACTTTGATCTCTCTGCTCTTTGGTAAGAATTCCTGCAGTGTGTATGTTTTGCAGTTGTCTTGCTGCAGTTTCGAGGTTTGGAAGAGGCACAGATCAGCATCAGATTTATATGGATGGTGTTATTTGATATTTGTCATCTTCTGTAGTCCACATTGCCTTTGCTGTTGACTTTGCTTTTTGTTTTATTGAGCAAAGGACACTACAGAGTGCCCCCGCTGCTGTAGAGGTCCTTTCGCCACCGTGTGACCAGTCAACGTGGGTGTGTTCTCTTCTTTTACTCATGATATAGAATTTGAGGTTAGGTTAAAGGTTGTTATTCGGTTTGCAAATGTTTTCAGGCTACATACATATCTGTCTTTGTTCCTCTGGTCCCAACAGCAGCACACCAAATTTGAGACCACAGTTGGCCAGAAAGCTGATCTGGTGGTCAGCCGTTTCCTCGAAGTGACATAGTGTTTCTCTGATTGTTAACCATCCCCTCAGCCTGCTGGCTGCCAACCAGCGGATTGTGGTTTTTTGGAAAGAGCATTGACCAAAACAGCAGCATGAGCTCATTGCTGTAATAAGCCTAAGTGAGTTACACATATGTATTCAATTGTTGGCCCTTCAGTAAGATAAGACTTTATCGTTGTCTTTTGTCGAAGATTGTATCCTTGCACAGTGGTTTTGATTAAAGAAAAACAAATGCACATTGTTTAAACTTTATAAATTCTTAAAAATGGATGCTGATAATGTTTAAATTAGAGACACAGCGGACAGGAAGTAAGACAGGCAAATCACGTCTGACGGTGCTTTGACTCACGTTGAGGTCATACATGTGACAGATGGAAAATCACTTTGTAAGGTTTACTCACATTTTTAATTAAAGGCAAAAGGATTGACATCCAGGGACTGCACTGGCCACTCGCTTATAGGCTCACTTATAGGAAGCTTTTCTTCCATAGTTCAGATCTTTGTGAGCTTTGGTACATCGTCCCACAGGATACAGCGTTGTACAGAGTTGTTCACGATTCTCTTTTATCCGTTACTAATCTCTTTGATTCACAGTGACAAAGTTTAGCATTTCATCACATTCAAAGCATAAAAAAATTAAGAATTTGAAAATGTTAGAACTTTCCACCTACTGTCAGGCCGCATTATTCTTCTTATCTGTCATATATACACTTACATATTACATATGGCAAGAATTTTTAAATATTGAGGTCGGCATATCTGTAATTAATCCCACTGAGCAATAACCCAGGTCTCAGACTTGCTCTAAACACCGGGTTTCAGACGGTTTTGTTTTTTTATGTTTGGCTCTGTGTGATGTCAGAGAGAGTGGATATCCTCTTCTCTGACTTGCTCTTTAAATAATAGCCAATCAGAAGAAAGCTGGCTTAAAGGTAGGGAGAAGAAAACTTAAGCAATAAATGAACTGAATAGTAAAATATATTTTTAAAAAAAAGATTATTTTGATCTCAGAATCAAAGCTTCTAGTGGAGTACTAGCTGGGCCTGGTTTTCCATTCTTTTTGTGAGTGAAGCTCCCAAATTAATATGTTTTTTATTTTGGTTAGATAAAGAAGGAGCTCAGCTCTGAATGCTGATTGGACCATTGTCTGCCTTTTTTCAGATTATTGTCTGTGATAGTTGTCTTTATTGTCTGCCATCATCTGCGCTTGTTTGATCTTACTCTTCTCTTTCACACAGTCCCTTCTTTCCTCTCATCTCTCAATAGCTTTTTACTTATTATGTCTTTGTTTTCCTGTTTTTCTCTCATTCAGCCTGCGCTTCTTGTGTTAAAGCAGAGCTGACAAACACGCTGACACATGTCCCTCTTCCACTGTTTTTCCTTTTCTTGTTTCCGTAGCTTCCTAAGCCTGTGTTTTCCTAGATAACAATCTTCAGGATCTTTTCTTCTGTGCCTCTCCTCATTTGCTGTTTTCCTCCAGGCTCTGTGTCCGCTAAGATGGTGCGATAAGAGACACCTGTTGAACTGCTTCAGCGCTCAACTGTTTGGGTGCGCATGATCAGAGAGCAGGGCCGGGTGTTTGGGTGAAGAATGAACTTTAAAGAGCCTGGAAGACAAAGCAGAGTGTGGAAGCTACCAGGCTGAATAGAGCAGAGAATCTGTTGGTCTTTTAGGTCTGCAGAGCTCTTTGTAAATGGAGTCTGCTGTGTTGTGGCTACTGGGAGAACCAGGATTCTGTTATCTAGGGATTACCTCAAATCAGTGAGGTGAAGATTTTGGATAGAAGATGCACTAAATGGGAACTATCAGGATCATCTTTCTGAAGAATGCATGTGTGGTTTCAGGAGTTTCTGTGTTGCAGTGGAGATCAGCACAGGCTCCCTCAGCCAAAAACAAGAGGGATATTGTTGCTGTAGTGCATACTACATTAGGCTCTGTGGATACACTTAAAGATATTTCACTACAACGTAAATATAGTTTAAAATACCAAATGTATTAAACGTTTCAAGATGAAATTCTTCTATTAAAAGCAGTAAAAGGCACAGGAACCAAACTAGTGTGTATGAAGTTTTTACAAAGCTGAGCAAACATACAGAGAAGAAGTTTTCATCATCATTCCACACACATTTGTGAACACCATCAGTGGCTTTTATACTTGTTTTGAAAAGTCACTGGAAAGCATGATAAAAAGCACCCATTATACCCACTGTGGCATAAATATGGAGGCAGTCTCTCTGGAAGCTGCTCGCAGTGTTTATTCAAAATGTGACAAACGGTTGTGTAATGAGTGAAAGAGTGAAAGTCTGGCTCAAGAGCTTGTTTATTTGCGTACCTCCAAACACAGGCACTGCATGAACTTTGCATGAACAACTATTTCAGTTTTGCTAGCCCCACCCTACAATGTCTGTCCACACACACAGCTACACACACACCCACTTTGTTATGCTCTAGTCACACTAAAGAAAACAGTGGTTGTGGACCACAGCACGACCCAAGTTATAATGACGGTGTGCAATCAGCTTCTGATCTGGATGCCTTTTGAACAATTGGTTTGAAGCCGAGGGCCAGGTCTGCGATCACTCGCAGGCAGCTGTTGTCTTCAGAGTGGCTTTGGTTTGTCAAGATAACACAACCTCAAAACATCAAAATGTCAGAATAAAAAACATAAAAAAGGAACGACAAGTTCATGAACTGTGTCTAAGGTCCACTTCACTGTGACATCATATTATTTATTATTTTGCAAGAAAAACATTTGACCATTATGTAACCATAATTCAGGGATGGATAAGAGATTGTGACCATATTTCACATTTGGTTAAACCGAGTGACACTGATCTTTGGTCCTCACCCATTAATTGCTTTCAAGGTATTCACTACATATACTATGAGTGAACAGGCATGGATATAAGCCTGCCTGGTTGTCAGAGGTATAAAACCTGCAAGGTGATAATTTAAGTTTGATTATCTGTGTTTCCTGATCCAATGGATTACCTTATCGGGGTCAGAGCATCTTGTCAAATAGAGGCTATCTTGTTTATTATCTACAGGTTTACTTGGCTGGATTAGCATGGCATTTAGTGTGGGGCAATAAACCGATACATATTAACACCAACCAATTTGCATTACAGCCTTTGTGCTCTCTCTCAGGGCTCGTCTTTGTCTGCTTCAGTGCACTTTTAACACCAAGTGTGTGCAATACTAATTAGCCCATGATAACAAATACAGCTACAGATATGGATCTCTTTAGTGAAGCTGCAATTTGATGATATGTGAGTCAGAGACAATAAAAAAAACACTTTTGGATTAAAATGTTTTGGGACTGAAAAGCAAATTGTGTGACTTTAAGTTGTCCTGATAGCATTCAGACACACTAAAGTACCAAATTTGAAGGCACACATATACTCATCAATGACTTCCTCCTCAGGTTGTCAGCGTCCCATTGGTCTGTCCAGAGGAAAGGCGAAGGTTTGTTACTATAGTGGCTGGTACTACTGCCAAAGCTGCCATCAGGACAACTCTTTCCTCATCCCAGCACGCCTGCTGCACAACTGGGACACCAGCAAGCACAAGGTATGAAAGTATACACACAGAAATATGAAAGAAAAAACAAATTTTTAATGCAGAATCATTAGAGGAGGGTCTTTGGGGCTTAAAAAGCCTTGTCATGTTTTAGCTTATAGTATATACTGTAAGACTACTGTTAAAGATCTGCAGATTTCCAGTAAGTACTGGAGAAAAATTGATCCTATCACATCTGTACGCTAAATATTAAGCTACTGCCAGAAAGCGTGGTCTTAGATTTGTGTTCAATATGGGATTATTTTTCAACTAGCCAACCATACTTCTTTTACTGACTCCAGCCCCCCACATTATTAGCAATTAATAGAAAAAGCAGAAAATGGCTACTGTAGCTCTGGGCGGGGGGTAAATAAAATTAGCCACCCAGGTTTTATCTTGTTCTATCTTGTCAAGCATTAAAGTCTGAGCTCAGGATTATCCCTCATATGTCAGTGGGCTTTGATGCAGTCATTTTAATGTAAACTTTTCCAGGTGTCCAAACAGGCCAAGGAGTTCCTGGAGTTTGTGTATGAAGAGCCACTGCTGGACATCCAGCAGCTTAACCCCTGTCTGTACGAACACTGTGAGCCTCTGAGCACAGTCCTGCGTCTCCGTCAGCAGCTCCAGTCACTGCGGGCCTACCTGTTCAGCTGCCGAGCAACCGTTGCTGAGGACCTCAGGCGAAGGTATGAACACTGTGGGACTGAGATGCATTTCTGTAGCCCAGCAGTTATTTACTTTATGTGAGCAGTAATGAGGAGGTACGCAAATATTTTACAAATTGAAATGTCTCGTGCTGATTGACCTGAAGAATTTTGCAAGAAGATTAAATTCATGTAATGTCTCTTAAATGCAAGTACAAGCCGATACCCCGACCCAGCCTTAACTCTTCACCCCTTGAAAGCCGACTAAGAGAAAGCCTTGAAGCCTTTTTCTGAACTGAGTGGTTTCTGTCATTTTTAAGGCCAGCTTATAGAAAAAAATGACTGGCTGTGAATCAGAAGTTAGCGAGGGTGGTCTCTCCCCGGAAAAGCCTGGAAACTACTCTAATGTAATATATCCTGAGTTGTCAAAACTCATTATGAGAACTGGGGAGGTGGTCAAATGTCATGTTTATGGAGGAAAGAGCTAAGTTGTTTGAACTAACCAAGAAGCTTATCACGTTATATGGCTAAATGTAAAGGAAGGAGGAAAACATGAGACAAAACACGATCCTTTAAGGAAGCTCTGCTCAGATGAATATGCAGAGATTATTTAAAAATAAATGTTCCACATCAGAAACCTTAATAATGCTTTATGACTGACTGTTATTTTCTCCTTGCGTGACGTGCACGTGCTCATATGTGTGTGTCTGAGTCCATATGTATATATTATCATAACTTTTATCTGCATGCATTCCTTTGTGTGTGTGTATAGACTGTTTATACATTAAAGACATGTGTCTGTGTGTGTATATGTCGATGTGTGTGATGGTCAGGGGGGACGACTGTTTATGTGAGTGGGATCACACACTGAAAGCCTTGTCTGTGCAGTGATGGATGCTCCTTGCCCCGGTCTGGTTCACTAACAGAGCATTCCTAATGGAGAAGCAGCACATAGATTTGTCATACTTTAATGTTGGCAACAAATAAGATGAAAGTCTATAAAAATATTTACATGTGGAGATGAAATGCATGATTCATCAGTTGGTTAGTGGGCAGAAAAACACTGAAATATGCATTCGGATCATTGATTAAGTGAGCTATAAATAGTTTTGCATTTAAAATCAAGAGGAAATTGTAATATGACTTATTCAAAGGAGCTTGCAAAGAAAAGCGTCTGGACTTCTTTAAGTTGCTTGAAGACGTTTCACCTCTCATCCGAGAAGCTTCTCGGATGAGAGGTGAAACGTCTTCAAGCAACTTAAAGAAGTCCAGACGCTTTTCTTTGCAAGCTCCTTTGACTACGATGACCTGGATGACTGAGAACCTTCACAGACATAATATGACTTATATTTTAATAGGGCAATTTAAATAGTGATCAACCCAAGTCTGCGTTTTCTTATAGTTTCCTAGCTGATTATGTACAGCAGAAACTAGATTTGATGGATGCTACAGTCACCATAATGCAATGTAAGCCTAACATTCATATAAATCTGTTTCTAACATTTTAAAATAGGAAATCGGGATCACAAACTCAACTTCCAAAAAAAAAAAAAAAAAAAAAGCATTTCAGTCATGCCGTAGTAGTCAAGCCGAGCAGCATCGTGGCGCTCTGTGTTTACTTCTGTCCCATTAGCTTGTGCCGGCCAGTGCCCCGTCACTTCCAAACACTGCAGGATTGATGAGGGCCATGGCGCTAAAACCTTTCCGTAGTCATTCGTTTATTTCAGGGGATCTGAAGAGATATGCCTGTTGCATGCAGCTAGACGGCTATGGAAACACAATCACACAAGGAACCACACGGAGCCCTCAAAGCTGTGTTTGTGGCCCTGTGCAGTGGTTCTCGGACACTATGAGAGGTTTGCACAGGAATCTTTGGCCCATGTCTGTGAAGGTTCTCAGTCATCCAGGTCATTGTAGTCAAAGGAGCTTGGAAAGAAAAGCCATCTATGTCCACTGTGAGCGACCATCTTTGAACAGAGGCGGTGGTTTACGACACCAACTCTCTGCCATCTATAATCCAGTTTTGAGTTCCCTCCCCAGACGCCTTAACGCCCACTCACATCCTGGGCCATCTGACCTCAGGAAATCACATGATAAGGTGGGGCCAGGTTTCACAATGAACACACCCGAAACTCTGGCTGATTGGGACCCACACCCAGTTTCACACCTTGGCTCAGGCAATTAGAGGATCATCAGGGGTCCTTTTGTCCCTCTGTGGGGGGATACTCCCACTAGGTTTATATCTGAGACTCTCCACCATTTGACCTTAGAACTGAAGAAGCTTCTCGGATGAGAGGTGAAACGTCTTCAAGCAACTTAAAGAAGTCCAGAATCTTTGGCCCACTTAATTTCCTCTTTATAGCATTGCCTTGAGTATATTGAGTTGCCGGTTCATTTGTTTATGCACAATCCTCTTAAGAGCCCAACACAGCATTTAAGTCAGGTAAAGATCTAACTAAGGACTTTGACTGGACCACTGGGACTCTTCAATTTGTATTTTTTTTAATTTTTTTATTTCTGAGATTCTGTTGAAGATTTGCGTCTGTGCTTTGGATTATTGTCTTGTTGTAGGACCCAGTTTGGCCAAGCTTTAACTGTCAGACAGATGGCCTCACATTTGACTCTAGACCAGCGGTCCCCAACCTTTTTTGTGCCACCGACCGGTTTATGCCCGACAATAATTTTACGGACCTGCCTTTAATTAAGGTGTCGCGGATAAATACAACAAAATACAACTAGTACCGGTACCGAAAAAAGAAGATTTATTAATAACACACGTGAAAAGACCCAGGAAAACAGAGTTAACGATAAAAACGATAACAAAATAACGCTGAAAACCGATAAAAACCCTGAAAACCATACATTTCACACCTGAGCCTCAACTACTTACCAAACGACTCACGGACCGGTACCGGTCCGAGGCCCGGGGGTTGGGGACCGCTGCTCTAGACTACGTTGGTATACAGAGGTATTCATGGTGGACTCCATGACTGCAAGGTGCCCAGGTCCTGTGGCTTCAAAACAAGCCCAAATCATCACCCCTTCATCACAGTACTTGACAGTTGGTATGAGTTGTTTGTGCTCATATGCTGTGTTTGATTTTCACTAAATGTGGTGCTGTGCATTATGAGCAAACATCTCCACTTTGCTTTCATCTCTTCAGATGCAAGTTTGCGATCCAAAGCAAAGCTTTCCGAGAGCAGCTCTCTTCTGGCAACCCTTCCAAACAGTCTTTTTTTTAAATTGTTGGTCATGTCTGCCCCTCCCTTCTTGCTCTGCCAGAAGTTTCTTCCTATTAAAAGGGTTTTTTTTCCTTACCACTGTCACCATGTACTTGCTCATGGGGGGGATCTGATTGTTGGGTTTTGCTGTATTGTTATAGGGTCTGTGGTTTACTAACATAAAGTGACTTCAGACTGCTGTTATGATTTGGCACAGTATATTAATAAAACTGAATAGAATTAATTTTATTAATTCTGAGATGTAGCTTGCTTTTGTATTTTCTCTGAGCATTGCCTGATCTTACCCTGGGGTGAATTTGTTAGGACGTCCACTCCTGAGAAGATTGTGGGATTGAACACACTTGAATGCTCCAGACCGGCAAACTGCCAAAACTACTTTTATAGAGATCATCACACTTTCTGATGATCAGTTAATGAAATGCATTTGATTAGCACCACTTGGCTGCTACGTATTCTTTTGATAATAATACATTTTATTTATAGGCGCCTTTCAGACCCTCAAGGTCACCTTACAGTAACACGTAAACAATACCATAAAAAACATAAGAAAAATGTATATATAGCAAACATGGTAGATAAAATTTAGACATAAACAGTCAAAGTATAAAGTATGCAAGCAGTAAGGGTATGCTTACTTTTTCCACAGGACTGCATGTGGACAGGACAGTGTGTTCTTTTTCCAATGTCTGTACATGATTAGGAAAACTAATGGTATTGTTTGCTCTTAAAATATGTTAATCATTGAAATAAACTCAAAATGGCAGAACACGTATAGATTTTTAACAGATTTGATGCTCCAGTCACTATTTCATGACTCCTTGTGCTCCTTGTGGTGAAGAAGAAGAAGAAACTCACAGGGGTAAAATGCAGACCACAGGTGAAAGCTTATGCTTATCTTTGGTTACACAGATAATTTTCCTTCATTGTATCAAGTAACATAGAATCTCTGTATCCTAATGCCTGGCATTATCGTATCAACATATCGATAGTACGCTTGTCTGAGAAGTGCTTTAATTCCCGTCTGTACATACAACATTGTGATGTCCTTCCTGACTTCAGTGGGGATGTCATTGAGTTACGTGCAGGTTGCTGTTCTTGACACTTTGTCAACATAAAAAGACATCCAGAGGTTTAAAAGATAAGCTTGTTTTTGCCTCGAGATGCTGCTTTGTTTGCTCCATGTTGTAATTTGTTGGTTTGTCCACTACTTACACATAGGAACATACTCGTTTGCACAACTTCTTCCTACATCTGTACACAGACCTACTCGGGTCAGACCCACCTTCAGTACACAATAATAATCACTGAGGGATAACAGAATTTAATAAAAGGTGTGTCAGTCGGAGTGGAAATAGCCCAGAGGATATCGAAATAAAATATAGAATTAGATCCTATCAGGTCTTGCACAAATACTGTCAGTTGTTGGCATGTGTGTACATATGTGTACATGAATTTGTGTGTGCTCTTGCTAATCTAAAACATATTAGTTCTCAAGTCTTTTTATCAAGATCGGCACACAGTTTGAGGGTGTGTTCATCCGCACATGGACGACACAATCAGAGTGTGTGTGTGTGTGTGTGTGTGTGTGTGTGTGTGTGTG